CGATGATGCATTTTGCTGGTAATCGGTCAACAATAAAATGAAGATATTCATTTTGATTGGATTATTGTCAATATCTAGGCTCCATGCTGTGGCCATAAAAATTATCAAATTTGACTTTGCATTGAATGGCTACCGCTGCTTACTTCGATAGCATTTGCACATCATTCTGTCAAAGTTTCCTATGTAATTTCGTCCTACGGTTCCTGAATGCTGAAATCTTCGTATATCACTTCGGAATCTTGTGTGTTGGTCACTCATTATGAGTGAGAAATTGCTACAAGTGGTTTTGAAACGAGAGTACACTTTATCTTATCAAACGTTTTGCTGTGTCAGTTGGTTTAGGCTAGTTCGGGTTTTGGTTTTCGGTAACTCACTCACGGTTCTAGCTATTCGCTGAAGCAACATTTCATCATTCGTGTGTAACAGTCATGGTGGAAGTAGCCATGCAATTTTTTTGTCCAGAAACGCACTCATTTGTAGCAACTCAGGAGAGATTGAATTGAAATGCGTTTCAATAGACCTAAGGGCGTGTGCAACTTCGTCAAATTAAGTTGTGGATAACACTCAATCGAGTTTCCGTTACGAGATGAGTTGTTTATGAACCTCGATTCATTGGTACGTGTTTTATTGTTTCCGTGAGTATTCTCATTGTTCCTGTTACACCTGCACCTGATGTAGCAATCAGCTCTAAAAATTTGATCAACTGAATTTACCAGCTGTATAGGATCAGATTTCTGACGCATATACATCTGTTTTGGGAAAACTCTAGTAGACACTGGTGAACGTTGACAAACCCCTTTTCATCATCAACCTGATGTTCAGCTTCCGTTAATTACCCTCATTTGCTTAATATTCGCAAGCAACTCTCAATCGTCACCTCCCGTAAATTCCTGAAAGTCCTGGAAAGCCAACATTAAGCAATCACGGTAAATATTGGTTTTCAAAGCCATTACATTGTAGGAAACTTATGGCAGTTCCGGATATTTCACAATTTGATTATGCGTGCCAGTAACGGTTGAATCCGTATTTCTAAATTATTCGACACAAAAGCATTTGGCCGTGTCACCTTACCGGCTTATTGTTGTGGGTATCTGCCTAAAGGATTTCACACTACGAAGGGGTTTATTTTTTCCGCACAGGAAAACGTTCTGAAAAACAAAATATTTACCTCAGACTCGTACTTCTGTGTTATTTTGCAAACGTACTAGTCACGTGATTCAGTGGTTGGGGAGAAATATCTAGATACAATCAGTTCAGTACAATTTACCGCATTCGGATTAGAGTAACAGCTGCTGCTGGTGGTGGTCGTGGTAGTGGTGGTGTTGGTGGTGCTGGTGTTGATAGTGACGATCTAAATGAGCCCTTGGAGCACCCCAGTTCATTGGTCATACCGACATTTTCTAAGATATACGATCCTGCTATAGTGAATACATATTCGGTTTCAGAACTCAGAGATTGTGCTTTGCATTCAGTTTTATAGCTGATTAGCTATGATGACGCTAGAAGTTTTGCTCTGCGAATATTTGGTCTATTATCCACACAAATGAGGTTAGGTTTTTCCTAATAAACTGAGCCTTGTTTAACTAGTTAGGAGTAATGACAGAAGTGGGATTCTAACATTGAAGGTGCATTCACATCCTTGATGTGAACCGCAAATATGACACGTCTGAGATTCTCTACTCTGCTCCACGTGAATCGAATAATTCTTTACCTCTGTCTGTTGTATAATGAAATTTTAATTTTACCTAAGTGTCACTAAAATCTGCAATACAGTTCGTTGGTTCAACATAACTGCCCAACTAATTATTATTATCAGCCTTAATTCAGAAAAGGACTTTAAACATCCCTTTTTGATGACTATTTGTTACACGTTGATGATAAACTCGATAGCGGATAGAAATTTCAGCGTTGGAAGTATTCATGAGATTCTTAGAATTAGTGAGTTTTCGAGAATTTGATCTAGCGAAGGTTATCAAGAATCTAGTATTCAAATAAAATGGAGCATAGATGTCCAGCTCTTAGGATGAGAAACAGTGGAAATTATCTCTCTTGTCAATAACTCTGTAACCATTGCTCTAGCATTCACACAGTATATTGTACAACTTGATTACCCATTATATTAGTTAATGCCCTGGTAAGAATCCAATAAACTGATGAACTGTTTAACAACCACTTGCAATTTTCCAGCGAAACTCCACAGACTTTCTTTCGAACACTGAAAAATATTGAAGGAGTACTCCGACTCGACAGGGCAAATTCACTTCAGGAATCCATGGATACTTATGTTTTATACTTATGTTACCAGGCGTAAATTATGACCTTGTTACTATATAAAACTGTTCCACAGTATGCCAATATTGGCATTTTGCGTTGACTGTCGTTCTTCAGGCATTGCGGAGGCCTTTCATTGTAAAAGTGTCGAATATAACCCATATTGATCTTTGTAGACTTCCATTGGTTGATTAGGTTCGAATGAAACGAAGTGTATAATCCTGTTTGCCTTGACGGTGTATTGTGGACGGAATTTCATGTGCATATGCTGTCATTGATCAATACCCATTAAATGAGACTATAAATCGAAATGGTTTATCTCACGTTACTGGGGACGTTTGTCTGTGTTGATTCGCAGTGACGGTTATCAACAATCCGGTTCGTTGAGAAGATAGCTAAGGCGTCGGAAAAAAGCGCTTTCTAAGTATGTCCTTTAGGAGGGGAAAATGTGATACGTTGTATCTCCGTCAATCTTTGTCTGAAGCTTACGGATTTGCGACTACTTTCCCTACAACTTACTTCTTGACAAAAAAATGTGTTTTATTCCCTTTGGAGCAAATAATGCGATACGATACCACATTTCGGTCGTGCAACTAACTAATTAACGTATGACATAATGTGCTGGTCAGGAGCTATTTTCCTCGGTCACGTTGTATCGAGGCTGCTCAGAGTGAGCATCATTAACTGAAATAATTCGGTGAAACTCCGTTTTTATTAGTCACTTGAAGTGCTGAGACGTGCATTGTTCGTAAATATCTCAAAGTGTATATAACCGAGATGCCCAGAAGATGATAACTCATATTTATCCACCCTTGCTGAGTTGTCAAATACACGAACGCAGATCGCACTGGTCTCAGGCCAAGGATACCAAATTAAGATAAAATTCATTTGAGAAAAATCTATCAACTATTTCAATGTCACATATGCCTTCCCTTGCTTTGGTCCCTGAATACGCTTTGGCATCGGTAGTCAGGTAAAACCTTAATTGATTGACATCGGACAATAGTTCATTAGCCTACATGGGTTGACCGCACCATAAGTTGTGTTCTACGATTAACTTTATATTTATTTGATAAGTAACAGTATTTGCAACAAAGGTTATGCATTTTCATGCGACAGGCAAAAATAGTTGAACTGCAATGATTTTATCAGACGAGTGAAGTATCGTGGAACTGCTACTCTCAATATTTATGTGTACACTGAAAACACACATCTTGTAGTCCATGACAGTGACAATTTGGTGACAAATAACTATCAATATTTGAGCGTCTTTAGTCAATCAATTTCCGTTTTGATAAAAATTCATACAAAACAAAGGTTTTGAACGTTCCCAACCAAGTCCTATCCCTGGAGGCTAGTGTTGACATCAGCGAAATCCATGGCCTGCAAAAACCTCGTAAAGATGGGTTGCGCTATATCGTGTAAATGTAAAAATGAGAAACGGTCCGATCAGATGCCCGGGCGCCAATGCTTGCGTTCAATCTGTGAGGGTCCGGGTTAGAGTTCCAGTTGGGTCGATGGATTTGCCCTGCTCATGGAACTCAAACAGGTCGAACCGGCTGTCCAGCGCTTCCTAACTTTTTAGCTCACGTCTACTTTACACGATGAATTCATCATATAAAAATCATTGTGTTTTACGATCTGCGGTACACTGAAGCACATTTTCGGTCGCTCAAAATGTTTTAGAAAGTTGGTATAATTCTGGGTCAAATGGAACCCAGCTTGAAACGCCCCCTGGCCTGAGTGTAGGACATCCAACAATCCAAGATACAAATAACGGCTGGGAACTACAGGGTGGACCAAAGAACCCTTCTGGGATTAGCATCCAATGAAAACGTGTGTGTGAATTTTCACACTATTTTAATATTATGGAGTATTCCGCAATGCTCGTGTTTTACCTAAGCGATGCACTTCTAACTAAATGAAACCGCATTTCATAGTAATCAAGATTAGTAAATGGAAAACGGTATCAGTTAATTAGCAAATACCAGACTGTGTCATCCTTTCGCAGGTCGGGTAATCGACCATAATCGACTGGTTGCTATTGTCAACTGCTCTAATACCAAAACAGGACACAAATGGACAGCCGTGAGATAAAACACTACTTGCGTAGAAAGTAAAACGCAATTAATTGAGACATTTGGAATCTCCGATAGCTGAGGAACAAAATGAGGAACATACCAAAAACGGGCGTACCAATACTGGATTTATTGCTGTGATGGGAAAATGTGACCTTGGTGGATTACTAAGATGGTGACTGGACCACGAGAATAAATAGGCTCAGTCCAAGCGATTTTGTGACTAATAATGATTACAACAGTGTTCATCAGCACCGGCTTTGACCTCTGCAGCTAAAATGGCGTCCCAGTGATATTCACTGTGGGGATATTCTATGATTTAGAACGCATTAATTTCAGTCCTTTGGCACACAGTCCAGCGAATGAAATAAACCGGAAAATTTTAATTTAGGTGTTGCTTTTTTGCATCAAAAAGTTCAGAATATGTTTTTCGGAACCAAGTTTTGCAGTCCATCATAATTATTCTACGTTTCAACGATTCAATCTCATGAAGCTGAAAAAAATACCCAATTTTGGCCACACAAATGTACGCTGTGATATTAATTTTTGAAACTAAAGAAGCAATCCAGGTTCACCTCATACCGGTGCACAATAATCGCAAACTGAAATGTCATAGACACACACACACACATGGCCATACAGGAAACGTACTTGCATAATAAAAAACGGGAGCCAGCACAAGCAAAAACAGCCCATAATCACTCCAAGGGTTTTTATCACTTTGGAATCAGCACTGCCACGAGACTTCCGCCTCTGTAAATCCGTACACGAAGGTTGTCTTGTGTCCACCACATGAAAATTACTACGATTGATAAATGCTGTGGATGAATCTTTGCTGGCGCGTTTAGATTTCGAAAACGATCGTCCATTATGCAAATCCGTTGTGGTCAGAGAATCGTTCAAAGCACCATGCCGTTCGGTGGTCGTGTTAATACTACTTCTAGTCTCATGCGTATCATTGTTTGTGCCCGTTACACGATTCCCGTTTTCTGCGGTCGGTTGTGCAGTATTGGGATGTGGGTTATTATTATCTTGCGAAGTTGTGGTGCTCAGTCTATTCAAACACTCCTCTCCTTCCTTGTTACAGATAGCCACATTTTCCGGTTTGGAGTCGTCAACCACAGCTTGTGCATCTTCCGCACTACTTGCCACCATTTGTCTGTGTTCCGCTCGGGACATTTCTCGAGCCAGTTTGAATATCCGTCCGTAGAGTACGATCATGACTAACAGCGGCAGATAGAATGCACAAAATGTGGCATAGATTTGGTAGCCAACATTTTTACTGTATTCACATTTGCACACCTCAAAAGGAGTTTTCCAACCGATATTTGGCGGAATACTGATCAACGCGGAGATCACCCAGGCCGCGGCAATCATTTGCAACATTCGGCACGGCGTTCGTTTACTCACATAAGTAAACGGTCGTGTGATCACCAAATAACGATCAATCGAGATTGCGCATAGATTCAGTATGGACGCAGTACACATGAGCACGTCAAAAGAGATATACATATCACATAGAGGTTCGTTGAATGGCCAGTACCCTTTGAGTGCGTCTATAATACTGAACGGAAGGACAAGGATGCCCACGAGTAGGTCACTGAATGCTAAACTAACTATCAGGAAATTACTGGGCGTTTGTAGCTTTTTCACCAACGCGACAGCAAGGATGACCAGAAAGTTCCCGCCGGCCGTTCCCACTGCAATTAGTACTAGGATAAATCCAATGATACTGCTCACAACTGGGGTGTAACTGTCGCCGACACACAGAACCGATTCCGGTTCGACAAGTGAGACCGGAATCAAATCAGACGTGAACGGATGAGGATCGAAAATATGCAATGTCCAGTTGTTCGGTAACTGATAAGACATGTGCGTGGACACCACCGTGATAATATCCTTGTCACTCATTGTGCTGAGTAGAAATGGGAGCTAGCAAATGATCTGCAACAACTGACGAAGCGTGCGTCGAAAACGTGTCCAACAGTTTTATTCCGGGGGATCCACACGTGACACTCATCCGTTCTAGAGGATAACCTTGATACAGTGCAACTTAAGGTGTTGGTCCTGTGGGGAATAATTGTACGTGCATTGCGTTCCGTAAAGGCTTTGTGATAATCGTTTAGTTGATGGTAATGCAGCACTGGCATGGAATTTTCCCATTTGTATAGTGTCCGTTTACTACCGATGCAGGAAGTGACAGGTCATGAGACCGGGGGTGTTGATCATGTCTGTATCAAAGCGCGGGATGCTGCATGTGTGTGTCTCCACGTAATTGAATGCGTGCGTGTGTATTGAGGACTCGGATAAAATTCTGTTTTTTTGTGAAGACGATGAGCACAGTACCGAAAGATGAAAGATAATTTTTGATGACTGTTGTTGTATTCTTCCGGGGGGACGACGTACTTCGTTGTAGGGTCAATGGACGAGTTTGTTGTTGACCGTAACAACGGCAAGGATAGCAATTAAAGAGACACACTATGCTAAACTTTGAATGACCCCAGAAGTCGGTTTCCCACTGACGTTTTTGTGCAACAAATTTCAAAGGCATGTACTGATTTATCTGTAGTTCCAAACTGTGGTTTTAAGTATTGACAAATTCCATTTATTAGTTAAACGTCTTGTACATCTTGTACAGCTCGACTGGGTTTGCAGTTATGTACGCAGATGTGCGGTGGTGCGCGATCATGCAACCGTGTGCCGTTCGTTGTATGTGTGCGGATGTGTAGGAAAGAAATAACAACTTGTTGACGTTTTTATTCCGTCGGGATGGGTCAGTACAGAGGGACGGACAGACAACCAAGCACAACCTGTGTGGTGTGTGCACCAAATGACGAGAGACAGGTCAGGCAGCGGACTTGCAAGCTGACAGACAGTCAACCACACGCACACGCACAACTGGAAAGACAGAACGATGGGAAANCTGGAAAGACAGAACGATGGGAAATCGCACCACTACAGTTATCTGATTGGACCCGAATGACAAATTGCAATGTGTGTGTTTGTGTGTTGGCGCATGCAACGCCAGTAACTGACTGCTCCACTACGGACGTTCTGTATTTTCTGGGGAGTAGTAGTAGTAGTTCCATCAGTTGCTCTTTCAGGGGAGTGATTATCTTTGTGCTGATCGGGCATGAAGAAAATTGGTCCGACCGATTGTTTTGATCCAACCTGTGTCAGTCACTTGACCACCAGAGTCCCTTCCGTCTGGTGAACAATGCACGCAATTTCCACACGCGACACCTCGTTCAAAACCCAATCAATGATGAAACTGAGAATGTGACAATTTCATTAGAAGGACAAGCAGGAAGAATCTAGTAAATCACGTTTGCTAATAGTAATACTTGTCTAGTTCTTAATTAACAAAGTGATTTTGTTATGATGTACTTAATTCAGTTGAATCTGAAAATTGAATGATATTAAAAATTATACTTCGTTATTTCATGTTGTTTACTTGGCTGCAGCTGCTAATTGAAATTTCGTTCGGTTTTCTATGGAATTCGGATGAGTTTGTAAATATTATATTGCCCCAATCACTTTGAATACCAAACGGAATCTAGTGGAACCTATAGTATATGAGTGTTGCAAGTGGATTCACATTGATATCTCACCGTATTAAATCCACTCATTTCCCCTAGATCACAAATGTGACTGATTCGTCAAGCATAGGCACATTTAATTTGCAATAGATTTGTGATAAAATGCCATAAGTTGCAAACTGTTGAAATCTGAAAATCGGCGTTAAATTTGAAATTTATAGCAATTGCTTCCGGTTGCAATATCATCCGCGGTGATGCTCGGTATTGCGGCAGAACAGTTACTCAAAGAATGAAAAATATCTGGATCACATAGGTTTAGTTCCAATCGTGTATTCCATGTGCATTCAAACTCTACTCAGTGAGCATTCAGCCAACCATGTTAACATATTACACCAACCATCTCTCCCGTGCGTGTAAAGGATGACTGATACAGGCTATCATCATCTGTTGTCATCTGAATTGGGCACATGCGAAGAAGTGGATCTACTACTCCACACAACATGTCCTTTTGAAATGTGTATAAAGAATACACGCAGAATCGAGTGACAACGCAATAGAAAAAAGCTTTCGTAGCACAGCAGGTAACATTTATGATGTAGAATGTATGAGAATTGGGGACTGCAGAATCTTCGACCAAAAACGCACCGATCCAACTGGGACATAATTATCTTGGGGTACGTCACATGGTCTCATGGAGATTGATGTGGCCCATAGAGAATAAGTGTACACAAGAAGAACGCAAATAAATGAGGTGTATATCCATCGACAGATTCGTGAAAAATGAAGGAAATGCCTGAAAATGAAATGATTCAGTGAGTCGTGATCACTATCACCGTTTATCGGCCTAATCACATCTGAAACTTAAGCAATTGCCGTTTGTTCAGTCAAAAATGCCACAATATCTCCGTTTTAATTACAATTACCGGACAGGGTAAATTCGAGATCTTACCGGAAGCCGGTGTTGCTTTCGTGAAGTTTTCTCTACTCTGCAACGGCAAAATAAATCCCATTCGTAAATTGTTACAATCATCGCTCCGGGCAATCAACTAATGATTAAAACAGTCGGGCAATTCTATCGTTATTTGGTATGAAAACAAGTACCTGATTTTATCAAATAAAACTGAAGTACTTGATTTGTTCAGCGGTATTCGGTTTTGACACAAACGGTTGACACCTAAAAGAACGTGAAGTTTAACAGGTATACCTCACGCATTGTACAAATGATCTATTACAGCCCGTCAGTTCTGGTTCACAAAACAGACTTCTCTCCTAATCAAGATTGATCACTATCTGAGTTCTAACGCTTAGGTACACATAAACGATAGTCCCTATCATGGTCGATGAGAAAAGATCAAATTTTTCCGGAGATTTATGGGACTTAACAAATCAGCATGTTGTTTTGGATAATATATTTACGATATTCTGGGTCTGACGTAAAGTGATCACAACAGATAGCGTTTGAACTCATGGTAAACCGTATGAAACTGGATACAATGGCAGTGTTTGTCAAGTAATACAATCTACAGTGTCTGAATCAGAGACAATTTTATCTGTGGGGTTTCAGAAACATAAAGTAAAGCTGAGACTTTTGAGACAATGAATGTAGCTGACAGACATCAAATGGGTGCGCGATTCACCGGGATAATGTTGCATTTATTTCTTTTCAGTTGTCGTGGCTGTCATGCAAAGTAATCATCAGGCAAATCTCGAACTAATGACTAAAGAAAAAATTCAGTTGGATGACCGAATCTGTACCGAGGACGCAGCTGGATCCTTTAACCTCGCGGCAAGCAACACAATTCAAACATTAGGTGAACTATTTCAACGAATGGCCGACAAAACTGTGCTTTCACAACCAAGGAAACAAGGAATAATTTCTTCAATATACGCGCGTGACTGTCGTAGTAAACCAGCTAATTACCACCCTGTTACTCTACCCTCTACCCTCCCCGTATTATTCAAAGTCATCGAATTCAATGTTGCAGACAATGTTATGAGTCAGGCCATCGTGTGCCACTTATCTTCTTTTGGCCCGAGAATAGTGGACAAATGCAGCTGATCACGGTAATGCAGCGTACGTTGTTTTCCTCGTTGTCTCTCAAGCATTCAACCGAGTAAACTGCAAAATACAGCAGAGAAAACTACTCGGTAATGGAATTCGGGGATTTATACCGTGTCGGTTCGAGGAATTTCTTCAACAACGCACCATGTTAGTTTGGGTTTCTGAGTAACTGTCTGATCTTATCAATGCAGCCTAATGACTTCCACAGGGATCCGTGTTTGGGACTCAACATTTTCTAGTTTTCATGAACTACATAACGGACATTCTGGGGTCGCAAAATACGTTTGCGAACGATTGCAAAAATATGGCAAACACTGAGAAATCCCAAGGAATCACTGAGACTTCAGAAAACACCTCATGCTGCTTACTAAAGGTTGGTCAAAAACGGCATCAACTGCAAGTCATCAAAATGTGCGGTCGTATCACTTCACCAAAAAACTGGGTTTCTGTACTTCGTGGTGTATAACTTCCGTGTCTCGAATGAGAAGGATCTCGATGTCATTGTTCAAGACAACCTACGTTGTTCTTTAGATGGCTCCAGGATGTTGTCCACCGCTGTAAGACATGTTGGTTTGCTAAAGCGAGTACTTGACAAATTGAAACCTACGCTGTTTCCACGGTCGTTATCAGCCTACATTTGTCGCCACATGCAGCATGCATTTCGAGCGTGGAATCCACGGCTGCAACGTGATGGTAAGAAAAACAAAAGTTTTTAGGTATTTCCCATAATAAAACTTTGACTTTGACCAACTTTTGACGACAATCTAACAAGTCGCCTGATTAGAAAACCAATTGCGCTTGTGAACTTATCAATCGTTTCATAAAAATGACAATTAAAGGTTCTCCCTGGCTTGATATAATGACATACTGAGAACGGTTTCGTATGAATGATTCAGTGGGTTTAATTGTTATCCCGCTCAAATCTAAGTGGAATGATCGTTTGGTGCACGCGTAGTGAAGAGTCCCTGTGTTGAGTCTCCTTGCCATGTGTAGTCAGATAAAAGGCACTTCCTCAATGAAAGCATACCAGTACAAAGAAGGTAGAATAAATCCGCATTATAGTATCACGATATTCTGCGTGGCACCCCCGTGAACTCATGCACCTTCATTTTCTCTCACTGTCTGCAGAGTTTGACGATCGAACTCAATGGCGCAATCGATCAGCAACCAGTTACACTAGGGGTGTAGGATGAGAATACATTCTTGCATTGTTGTCAACCAGTTGCGAATGTTTCGGATTACGCCACGCACATGATCCTCAGAAGGTATAGTTCTTTTCCTTGTCCGACAAAATGGATGCAGAAATAGTT